AGCTTTCTAGGACTTGCGGGGTATTATCGATGATTTGTAAAGGATTTCTCGAGTATTGCTGCTCCAATGACTCGGTTGACTAAAAAAGAAGTCAGGTTTGAATGGGATGCCGATTGTGAACATGCATTCCAAGAACTGAGGACTAGGCTAACCAGTGCGCCGATTCTGACGATTCCTAATAGTAATGAGCCGTACGAGGTGTATTCTGATGCTTCAAGACGAGGACTTGGGTGTGTTCTGATGTAAAATGGACATGTTGTGGCCTATGCATCTCGTCAACTGAAGCCACATGAGCAGAACTATCCCACGTATGATCTAGAGTTAGCAGCAATAATTTTTGCTTTCAAGATATGGAGATGCTACCTCTATGGAGTAAAATTCTAGATCTTTTCCGATCATAAGAGTCTGAAGTATCTGTTCACTCAGAAGGGCTTAAATCTAAGATATAGAAGATGGATGGAATACATGGAGGATTATGACTTCACCTTATAATATCATCATGGAAAAGCCAACGTGGTAGCAGACGTTCTCAGCAGAAAGACTCCAAGAATCCTAGCATCTTTGGCATTGGAAGATTGGAAACGAAGTGAAATTGTAGGTGACTATGATCTTCAGTATCATGAGGATTCTAACCAAGCTGTGGTGTACAACTTGGTTTCAACGCCAACTCTTATACAACAAGTCAAGCAGAACCAATGGCAGGATTCGCATCTTCAGGAAATTTGGATTCGAGTCCAGAATGGAGAAAAACTAGACGAATGGAATATTCGGGAAGATGAAACGCTCTACTTCAGGAATCGCCTTGTCGTTCCTTAAGTGGATGAGATAAAGAAGACAATCCTTCATGAGGCTCACAAATCGAGGTTTGCTATTCACCCTGGAAGTACCAAGATGTATCAAAACCTCAAAAGGCAGTATTGGTGGAGAGGTATGAAGAAGGATGTTCGCCAATACGTGTCAGAATGTGCGACTTGTCTTCGAGTCAAGGTTGAACATCAGAAACCTACTGGGGAACTGCAGCCTCTTCCTGTTCCTGGATGGAAGTAAGAACACATTACGATGGATTTTCTGATGGGATTGCCGAGGACTGAACATCGGCATGATGCCATATGGGTCATTGTGGATAGGTTAACGAAGTCTGCGCACTTCATTCCCTTTCGTGTGACGTATTCCAGGAAAGTTCTAGCAGAGTTGTATCTGGAGCACGTTGTCAGACTTCACGGAGTTCCGTTGTCTATCACATCGGATCGTGACACTCGTTTCAACGCTAGATATTGGAGAAGTTTCCAAGAAGCCATGGGAACCGAACTGAATTTCAGCACCGCATTTCATCCTCAAACCGATGGACAATCTGAAAGAGTTATTTAGATTTTGGAAGACATGCTTTGTGCTTGCATTCTAGATTTTGGTGGAAACTGGAAGAAGTATCTCCATTTAGCCGAGTTCGCCTACAACAACAGTTATTAGAGTAGCATTGGGATGGCACCATTCGAGGCGTTGTATGGCAGACCTTGCAGATCGCCAGTTTGTTGGCTTGAGTGAGAAGATCGATTGACCCTTGGACCGGATGTTATCCAGGAGAATAATGAGAAAATATCTGTGGTTCAGGAACGACTGATAACAGCTCAGAGTCGTCAGAAGAGTTATGCTGACAAGAGGCGTAGACCCTTAGAGTTCTTAGAGGGCGATTTTGTCTTGTTAAGAGTCTCTTCAAGCAAAGGAGTTACTTGTTTTGGTGTGAAAAGAAAACTCGCACCGAGGTACATCGGGCCGTTTCAGATCACACAACGGGTCGGTGTCGTTGCTTACCACCTTGATCTTCCTCCAGAATTGTCTCACGTGCACAATGTGTTCCATGTTTCTATGCTTCAAAAGTGTCAGCCCGATCCAGAAGCTATTGTGCAATGGTATGACGTGCCGATCCAGCATGACGTGACTTACGAGGGAGCACCCGTACAGATTCTTGACCGGAAGATGAAAAGCCTACGTCGACGTGAGATACCGTTAGTGAAGGTGTTGTGGCAACACCATGGCGTTGAGGAAGTAACGTGGGAATTGGAAACGACGATGCATGAATGATATCCGTATCTGTTCATATCGTGAGGTAAATTTCAATTTCAGGGATGAAATTTCTTAAGGGGGGTAGCATGTAACGCCCTCCGAAATTAAACTTATTTAATTATGATAATTGTGGTTTATTAGTGTGCCTAAATTGATTTTCTTAATTAATCATGAACTTTTAAATTTATTTTTAGTAATTGCAGTTCCACCCCTATTTACTTTTATTTGTCTTTCCTTATTATTTTATTTTCCTCATTTTATTTTCCTTTTCTTCTTTTCTTTTCTTTCTTTCTTTTCTTTTCCCTCTTCTCCCGTAACCCTCTCACTCACTCACTCTTTCTCTTAGTCTCTCTCTCTCTCTCTCACTCTCGCCCATCTCTTCCTCTCTCTTTCTTTCAAGTTTTCCCTCTTTCTCAAGAACGTTATTGAACCAGATTTGAAGAAAAACGGAGATTTTTAAGAGATTTTCAACATCAAAGCTTGGATCGAGGTAAAACTCTTTGAAACTTACTTTAGATTTTCGGATTTAGACTTATGGAACTCGTTTTAGTCGAGTTTGGTGATTTTTGGTTTAAATTTCATTTTCGAATGCATTTTGATGAAACCTTGATGAAAATTGGGGGTTTTTGATTCTTTGGACCCTATTTGTTGATTTGAAACTGGATCTATGCATTTTCCTTGAGAATATGTCGAAATCAAACCTAAAATTTCAGGATTTGGCTTTGTTTCACGCGGATCGGCCATGGCTGGCCCTGGAACTCTTCCCCACTGGTCGACTGGTCACCCCCCCACCGGTCGACCGGTGGAGTTACCCTCCTCTGTCACCGGACCGACCGGTTCGCACTGAACTTGACCCTAAACAGCCTAAAACCCTGTTTTGACCACGAAATTTGATGTGGAATTGACCTAATCTCATTTGAGAACTCAAAATGAGTGGATTAGCCACATGAATCCTTGTTTTCTATTCGATTCTCCGGAATAAATCTCCATTGTCAAAGAATCATAATTTGAATTAAGAATTGTTTATGAATATTGATTTTGAACTATGACACACTAATATGATACAATTGCATCTAATTAAACGAGAATGTTTGGTGAGAAAGATCAAACTCTAAATTGTTAATTTTGATGGGAAAGTTAGTGGCACGATTGGAATTGGAGCCTCGAAGGCAAATGGAGCTAGGAAGATAGCCACAGTTTTAACATTCAAAAGGTAGGATATTCTTATCCATATCCTTGTTAGCCTTACTTTAAATGGTTTTAGCCAATGAAAATGTTTTAGAACAAAACATGTTTAAAGAAAATGATTTCAAAGGAATAGCATGAGAATGCTATTAAGTTTTCCAATGATTTTGAAAATGAGATTTTAAAGAGTATCATTTCTTAAAATGAAATATTTTATGAAATTATACAACGCATGGTGGCCACAGAGATCGGGATGTGGGAATCGCATCCTTGGGGGCAGGTCCCGAAACCCGTACGGATCCACTTCTTGTTTAGTGGAACAATGGCTCTGCACTTTTCATTAGACAGACATTTTTACCGCTTCTTATTTAGTGGTATGGTGAGCTGCACACTTTCATGATACATACATTTTTTACTATGTGAGTATTTCCTTTCTAAAAAGGGATGACCGGTTTCGGGTGTATATTTTCGGACTGTGAGTACTTTTATTTTAAATGCTTTATAAAATTATATCCTACTAGGCCTTTCGCTCACTTTTATTATGTTTTCAATAAATTAACCCCTCCAGGCGACGCGAGGAGTAGTGCGGAGTAGGTAGCTACTACCGGTGACGTGGACTCGTCTTCGGGAGGCGAAGAATTGTATTTCTTCTTATCTTTTATCTCAAGGCATGTATAAAAGATTATGGATTGTAAACTTAAATATTGCTAGACTGTGGCTGATGTCGTATTTATTTTTGTTTATATTCATGTATGCTAAGCACCTGTGGGAATTGTTGACTTGATACCAGGGACGTAGTTTTAAACTGGTTTGGTTGGAAATTCCACTACCCTTCTCGAAATTAAATTTCTCCTGAATGCAGGGGGCTTGTTTGGAAATACTTGGATGTTTTGGATTTGAAAAATTAGAATATTTACAACATTATTTGCTAATCACTCTCTTAAACATGTTTAAGCTTCTAAACAAGCCTTCACGTCACTAACCCCGATTTGGGGGCGTGACAGTACTTTCCAGTTCAACCATTTTTTCCTTCAACATCTTTTCTTTTTCTGCAGCAAAGAATTTATAATTATCAGTAACTCTTTTCAACATATCCTTTTTTTTAACAAGATCATTAACGCACTTCGGTAGAGACTTATGGGCCGTTCGGTTCGCTAATTCGAGTTTTTAATTCGAGTTGAGATGTGATATTATGTGAGAGCTTTTTATTGTAATAAAAAGTTGATGTGACTATTTCTGAAAGCTTTTTACTGTAATAAAACTCAAATTCTAAACTCGAATTAACGAAAAAAAACGACCTTATTCATTTCACATTACATTATGATGTCAATCTGGGGCCCAGAGGCATACGTGTTGATATATAAATGGTTTGAGCAAAAATCAAATTTAAAATGACAGATTCATCTCTCCTGGACACAACTGAGGAGGATTTTGTAAAAATAACTCAATAGAAAAATTTTATTAATAAAATAACTTTTTAAAAATTTTTATTTATAAAATGATCATTTTTTACAAAGAATAATTAGGTAGTCCTTCTTCATAAAAAATAAAAAAAATTATTTTATTAATTTTACTTTATTAGATAATCATTCTAATATATTACCCCCACAAATGAACAGCTCACATGAGAACAAAAAACTTACTTAAGAGGAGAAAAATTCAAGTAATCACAACCTTTTAAATTAAAAATTTAAATGAGCGAATTAAATAGCCTCAAAATTTCTTATCGAGAAGAGGACTAATCATCAAACGTAAAGTTATATATACGACAAAAGAGCCTCTGTTTATAGTCTCCGAAGAGAGAGTTTTAGAGAGAGGAAGAGAGAGAACTATGGCGACGGACGTGGTGGTGTTGCAGCACGAAGGGAAGAGGCAGGGCAGTGAGAAGCAGCATGTCTTCTGCAAGGCGGGTCCCGGTTACGCCACGCCTCTCGACGCCATGTCTGGTCCCAGAGAGTCTCTCATCTATGTCACCTGCGTTTATTCTGGTCAGTTTTTTCTTTTCTTTTCTTTTTCTTTTTTTTGGATATGATTCTCGAATATTTGTGGTTTGATTCTGGTTTCGGCTTTACTTTTTTGGTATATTCTCTATATGTTTTTGCGTGATTTCTACTTTCAGAGAAAAAACTCTTTTTGATTCTTTCCTCTATGTTCAACTCCCTGTAATTTTATTCTTAAAAAAAAAGCCCTATAATTTATATGGCAAAGATATTAATTTTTATTTTTCAACTGAATGATGTATATAAATATTTCCTTTCTCTTTAAAAATGGAACAGATTATCATTAAAACTCTAAAAAATAATTACATCTAACTCTTTTATCAAGTGAAACATAAAATTATATTTTAACTCAAATTAAAAACTCAAATTAGCAAATTAAAGGGGGCTTAAGTAGTTCTGCCTTTAGAATCACTTTTTTTTGGCGAGAAGAATCACTGTACTTGATCATCGTCAAGTAATTCTTTATTTATTTATTTATTTCTTTATTTTTGCTGAAATCGTCAAGTGATTAGATTCTAGTTATGTATTAGAGTATAATATGATTTTTATTCTTGTTGTCACACTTTCAAAATTATCGTCAAATAAAATAAATATCATGTTACATCTCTCACTTCTACACGTTGAAATACTTTTATTTTGTAAAGGAATCAAAATATTTATTTCAGCTATTGGCTTTTTTTCGTGGAACATCGTTCTTCTTTGTCCCATCTTGCCAATATTCAATAATAAAAACATAGTTGACCTTATAGTGTCACAAATGTCGCGTTAGTACTGATTTCAGCAAACTGAAGCCTTTTTTTTTTTTTTGGGTTTATAGTTGTAGTTCAAAAGCGTATTTTTCTCAATGTATGCATGTAGCTTTACACTCTACGTTTAGATAATAATGAGAATTAGGAAGTGGAAGGTATGGGGAGAAAATGAAATATTGAAGCAGAAACAAGAGTGATAAGGAAAGAAAGTTACCAAAGACAAGAAGGTCTAGAATTGATTTTATAGTAGATAATTCTTGCCAATATAAAACCTGCAATTCATGAATTTGTGCTTCACCTTTTCATTCTTCACTAAGTTCATGTATCAACCGTCAACAACAAATCCTCATGTTGGTCCCAAAGAAATTGCAGCATATTTGCTTAAGTTCTCCCTGAGACTTTGTTTTATTGCCAATGAGTGGAAAAGTAGGCAAGTAATTGTTAACTTATTTTCAAGAACTATTACTATATTCCTTATCAGATCCTTTAATGAAAATTTCAAGGACTATTACTGTATTCATTATTGGATCCTTTGATGGAAACTTGCTTTTGTTCTTGAATTAAAAAACCTCGTTTAGAGCTAATATGCACTTTCTTTTGAAAAAGTAGTTGCTATTATTGGCAATAAAAGGTCGTAACCAAGTTCTAGATGTGTCATAAACTGGTTGTTTTTACTTTGCTATGGTCTTTATGGAAGGACCATGGCATTGCCAATCCTTTTTTATTCAGTTGATTTATTGCTTACTCTTTTTCGGGGTCATTCTGCAATCATCTGGACTTTTCAAATGACATGCCAACTTTTTCTTCAATGCTATGCAGGGACGGGAATAGAAAAACCTGATTACTTGGCCACCGTGGATGTGGATCCAAGTTCTCCTACTTTTTCAAAAGTTATCCACAGACTGCCTATGCCATACTTAGGTGATGAGCTTCATCATACTGGATGGAATTCGTGCAGTTCTTGCCATGGAGATCCTTCTGCAGATAGGCGTTTTCTGATCGTACCTTCACTGATGTAGGAATAATCAAACCCTATTATTTTCTATTCTTTTATCTTCAATAATTCCGTAAACAAATCCTTCTCACTAGAATTGTAAAAGTTGGTAAATGATTCATGTAGAAAGGTAGGTCATGAATTGACTCTAAAGTGGTAAAGGAGAAAAATAAATTTTTTTTTTTTTTTGATAACAACAAGAATAAAACTAAAATACAATGCAGTTGTCAAAGGAAACCATGTCGGCTTCTACATCACTCTAATAAAAATGTCCTTTGAATGTGCCTTCTCTCTCTCTCTCTGTTTTTTTTTTTTTAGGATGGCTCATCTACTTGAAATAAGTATGTGCCCTTCATTGCCATTTTGGTCATTTAATCTAGATCATTTTACAGATCTGGTCGTATTTATGTGGTTGACACAAAGACAAACCCAAAAGCACCCTCTTTACATAAAGTTGTTCATCGCGAAGAAATAATTCAGAAAACAGGGTTAGCATATCTACACACATCCCATTGCCTGGCTTCTGGTGATGTAGTGGTATCATGTCTGGGTGATAAAGATGGAAATGCAAAGGGAAGTGGGTTTCTTCTCCTCGACTCAGAATTTAATGTTAAAGGAAGGTATGCTTTATGTTATTATGTTATTAGACTTGGACCTCATTTTAATAGCTTAGATGTTTTAATAATTCTGAATGGTCATATAGAAGGTTCCATTTCATAAGCCATAGATCTCCAAAACAGTCAATATTTTGTCCTGAATCATGAGTTAAAGAGAGATGAAAATAGTTGTCAGCATGTAAAGTGGAATTGGTTTATTCCATCAGTGCATAGTTTAACATTTTCAACGGAATAATAGTTTTGTTTTAAGGTTATATTTATTTGCTGCTGGGTTAAACAAATCTATTCCATAACAGAGAATATTTACTTTTTGTTATCTTTGCACACTTATAGGTGGGAGAAAACAGGGCATAGTCCTTTATTTGGCTATGATTTTTGGTACCAACCAAGACACAAGACGATGATAAGCTCGTCATGGGGTGCTCCTGCTGCTTTTACCAAAGGCTTCAGCCTTGAGGATGTTACTAATGGTTTCTACGGGAAGCATCTTTACGTATACAGCTGGCCCGGTGGTGAGTTGAAACAAACACTGGATCTTGGCAGTACAGGGCTGTTACCCTTGGAGGTCAGTAATATAAACTCGATTTCCAGTTTAATTGATGTTTTCATTTTAAAAAACCATGTTAATGTTGTGATTTACATGCTTACAGATAAGGTTCCTTCACGATCCATCCAAAGATACCGGATTTGTTGGATGTGCTTTAACAAGTAATATGGTGAGGTTTTTCAAGAACCAGGATGATTCTTGGAGCCACGAGGTATGTCTCTAACGCATCCATTTTTCGTTCTGTATCGTTTCTTTACCTACATGTTCACTTGCTACTCACGTTGTATTTTATATTTTACTTTAATATATATATTTATGAGGCCATCTTCAGCCACAATGAATGGTAATAGTAACTACTTGTTTGCTTTTTGCAGCTTGCCATATCAGTGAAACCATTAAAAGTACAAAACTGGATTCTTCCAGAAATGCCTGGACTGATAACTGATTTTCTGATATCACTCGATGATCGCTTTCTATACTTCGTGAACTGGCTTCATGGTGATGTGAGACAGTACAACATTGAGGACCCTAAAAATCCTGAGTTGACAGGCCAAGTTTGGGTCGGAGGACTAATCCAAAAGGGAAGCCAGATTTTAGCCGAGGGGGAAGATGGTAAAAGATGGCAGTTTGATGTGCCAGAAGTCCAGGTTTGTATGATAAATTTATTTTGTGCTCTCAATTTGTGGTGCACACTATTACTGAAATTTCATTGCTTTGGATTGATATTTAAGTAGTCTGCTAAAAGAGATTACACTTATGGATCACTTTTCAGATCACAAGAGTTGTATATTCTCGCTGCTGATTCTCAAGTTATACTATTTGGTTTTCATTTAAATGAGTTCTAGTCCTAAAAATTTGATAATTGATAGATTAAAGGGGAAAGTAGACAGATACCCCCTCAGAGTGCATGAGTCTAGATTTTTACCCTTCACTCTTTATTAATATGAGTAAGGAGTAAAAATCAAGACCAATGCAATCTCAAGGGTAATTTCAGCAATTCTCTCTAGATTTTAAATGGATGATCAGTTTCTTTCATGTCTATTCCAACATGGGATTTTTTTTTTGGGTGATACAATTATGAGATAACATTGGATTTACTAACCAGATGACATAGCCTATCTATTAATATCCTGCAACAAACTAGTGTAATAGCTTCGTTATTTAAATTGCGTTTTTTTACATAAATAATTGCTTCCAATTTTTCATGAAACGGTGTCACCTATAGGCAGCATTTCCGATATACCACTAAGGCAACATGTATCTTCCGTACATCCATACCTTATACAACTAAGCCATTCAATTTTCGATCCATGAATTCTTTGAAAATAGATCCTTGTAAAGGTGCTAGCTTTTATTTCTTGTGATGCTCTGGATTACTTGATGATGTTTCGCCATCTACACTCTTGGTTCCTAGTTCTTGCTAATTTCGCATTTCTCGCATTGGATGAACTATTTATTGTGACTCAAAAACGTATGATCACTTAAAAACGTATGATCTTTGGATCTTTCCATGCAGGGGCATAAATTGAGAGGTGGACCACAGATGCTCCAGCTTAGCTTAGACGGGAAGCGTCTCTATGTCACCAACTCGCTCTTCAGTACATGGGATCGCCAATTCTATCCTGATCTTCCAGTGAAAGGTTCCCACATGTTACAAATTGATGTCAATACTGAGAAAGGTGGTCTTTCCATAAACCCCAATTTCTTTGTGGACTTTGGAGCTGAACCTGATGGTCCGTCCCTTGCCCATGAAATGAGATATCCAGGAGGTGACTGCACTTCAGATATATGGATCTAACTGTTTCAGATCTAGCAATAAATTATGTGACTTTGACATCTTTCAAGACAAATAATAAAGGGTCCACTTTGTATTTAAGTGTCTACTTACCAACAATGATCTAGTTTATATAATGAATAATGATCCTTGTGATGCTTCAACTACTTTACTTTTTGCATTTCCTGTTTATGTATTTATTTGTTTGTTTCTTTCTTTTTCTGCGCCTATAATTTCCTCTCTATAATAATGCTAAAAAGGAACTTGACCCCAGAGGCTTACCTTTTGTGATTGTATAGTATATCACATGTATCTAACTAGGTTAGTGTTTTGGTTACTGCTATGAGGAAGAGTTTGGTTCACCTGAAAATGTGTGAATACAAAAAAAAAGGAAGACAATTCTGGTGGTATTGGCTTCCATACCATAATGTTGGACACCTCTTTACACGCAAGTTTTAAGTGTTGAAAAACACCCAACTCTCCTATGGTTGCAAGCATAGCTTAATAGTAAATCAACCCCTTCCCTGCAATGTTGAAGTCGAAAGTCGCGACTCAAAGAGTTCGAATTGGCCCACCCCAGATCAAAAAAAAAAAAAAAAAAACTGTTTGAGTTTCATTTTCAGAGGGTCCATAGTTACTTCAACAGTCGAATTTACTCTCCATAGATTCATAAACGCTGACTAGTTTTGCACCTACAAAGCACTCAAAAAAATTCTCATTAATGAAACGAAATTCATTTTCTTTCTGCCGCAAAACAATAAATTCCATCTACTTGAAACAGTCCCACAACTTGAGCAAGTTTGCTCATATTCGTTTTGGTGTTTACTGTAAAAAATAAAAAATAAAAAATAAAAAACACCAACAACTCCTAGTGTGACTATTCTTTAGCCTAAAGTTTGTGCTCCTTGACGTTCTCGAGCAGTTGAATCGCGCGCCTTGACGTTCTCAAGCAGTTGAATCGCGCTCCATCCTCAAGCGGCCGCACCTGTCCTTCTCGCTTCATTTTCTTCGAGCTCCATCCATTTCTTTTCTCTCCTCCTCTGATTTGGATTTTCGGTTGCTGGTCTTGGATTTAGCTTCACCGGTCGCAGGCGTTTGATTGGTGAGTTTTTTCCTTTTATTTTTCCCTCCGATTTTGTTCTTTCTTTTTTTTTTTTTTCTTGAATTGTTGATTGCTGTTTTCATAATCGAAGAGACCAGAGGCGTCATGCTTCTCTACCGCGACGAAGTCGTTTTCCGCAACGACGACATCTTTCAGAGAGAATAAGCAAGAAAATTATAGTTAACTGCCAATTCAACACATTTTTGCTTTCTTCTCTTCTTCCCTAGTCATGGCCACATCATTTCCTACTTGTTTTCAGCTTCAGAAAACTGGACATCCATCAACCTTAATACCCGGTGCAGTCGGGCATGTTGCCAACGGACAGTGATCAAGGGCAGTGCCCCACCACTTCAGATTTTTGTTCTCGTTCTGCAAGGTGAAAAACAGCAGGACAACCATGAATGCAGTTCAAGCATCCAATGCTGCAGATAGAACATAGTTATATTTCTGCCACCATCGCTTGTGGTATCGGAAAACAAAGTAGTTGAAGATGGTTCCGGTGGTAAGCCAGCTTGCTATGTTCGTGGGAGTGGCGAGAGGCGTTCCTGCAAAGCCATAGGATATAACTGGTATGTTTATCAAGGGAATCCATTTCTTTTCTAGGAACATTTTGCTCATCAACCAAATAGGAACCGGCAGGACAGCTCCAATGAGGAATAGCCACACCAAGTTTCGATACAATCCTCCTAGTCCAAACAGCCGCTTTGGTCCAATCATGCCCCATATGACAGAAGCGTCAAGGTTACTCGGTACTTGGGACAAGTCCATGGACTGTTGGGGTGAAGAGCTTCGACGTCGCATATGTCGTCAATGCTTTCCAGCATCCACCATGCCACTGCAAGGTTGACTGTGAAAATTTAATTCCTAAAGTTTTCGGTCAATGTCCCAAAGAGTGTTATAACACTAGATGTAATACTGATGACATATACGTTAAATTAACCCAGCAAAAAACTATAGAGAATTGAAAACGTGCAGAAACAGAAAGTAATGCAGGGGAAAACTAAAGAACACTAAAAAATGATATCGCAGTTCGGTGCATACACTTACATTTGTGGGGCCACGTCCAGACAGTGATCAATCCACTAAGTTCAAAAGATTACAAAGGACCGAACGGTCTTACACACTCAACGACTCTCTCCTTGACGATGTCGCCGTTGCCTAGAATCTCCTTAGGAAGCTTGATCAGCGAGCACCACTCGACTTGACGGTTTCCTCCCGAAACCAAAGAAATCTTCTCCCGAAGAATTAACTCGAAAGTGTTCTAACAATTCATCGCAACACATCAAATGATACTTAACATTTTAATCTCATCCTGACATGAACACAAACGTCTCTACTGTTTTCTGCACTCTCTTTGTTTTTTTTTTTTCAAAACCAAAACCTCACCTCCGTTCTGGCATCTCCCACTGATTCGACCTGCCTCCAGCCTCAAGATCACAAGCAATTAATTCCCCAAAAGTCCACTCTTGATTTTCAACAATCAAAGCCTCTGATTTCCAGCCATTAAATCAATTCCCCAAATGTCCACTCTTGATTTTCAACAATCAAGGCCTCTGATTTCCAGCCAATCTTACAACCAATTTGTCAAAAATAAGCCAACACAAAATGCACTAATAATCTCCCCCTTTTGCTATTTTTGGAAAAACTAACATTACTAACAAAAAGAACCTATTACAAGATAAAAGATAAAATCCAACTAAGGGGGTTAGTTGAATTAAGAGTTCTCCCCCTTTTTGACAAAATACAGCCAAAGAAAATAATAAAAAAAACTTCTAGAAACTGTTGTCGCAGAAAGTGTTGCAACACCTGATGGAACACTCTGTGTAACACTTTCCTGCAAATCACGTTCTAATTCATTGATTTTTGCAAATTACTCCCCTTGAATCCTCTACGAGTCTTACTCCCCCTGAATGTAACACTTTCTTAATCTTGCTATTATCACCTGTCAAATACTTGGACCAACCACCATTACTACTCACACAACCATTAGTACATGCTTATAAAGAAGTATAAGTCCTATGACGCCTCAAATCAGATTTCCTTACCCACACGTGTCTAGAAAATTTTTTTGTACACATCAATCTCCATTCTAGGTGTCCTTTGAATGCGGAATTTGGTGGATTAATAATCATACTTCTTTGTAAAGCATTCAAGTATTTGTAACATCTAGGTCTAATGTGACGAGGCAAATTACAATAGTGACATGTAGGAGCAAACCTTCTTGATTTATGCTTAGGGTGTGAAATAACAACTTTCTTACATGGGATAATTTTAGGCTCGAGAGCAGGTGACGCTTTAACAAACACAGTCTTTAACGTTGAACCTTCATTGATGTATCCAAAGCCATAACGATCACAACTTTCTTTTCCTATAGAGAGAATATGATTCAGTTTGGTGGTGCCAGAGTTCATCATTTTCAAATTTTTCTAAGTACTCTCCAGTTCAGCCCTTGTTTCCTTCAACTTCTTGTCTTTTTCTACAGCAAGGAATTCATAATTATCAGCAGCTCTTTTCAACACATCCTTCTCTTTGACAAGATCATCTACGTGCTCCCGTAGAGACTTATTCATTTCACGCACTTTAACCCATTTGTTGAACATGGTCTTATAAACTTCCTGTATGTCATCAATAGTCAACTCCCCGCCATCACTGTTACTCTCAGAAGCTGAAAAATCTCCTTTAGTTTCGATGTTCACAGATTATGTTTCAGCATTTGTTATAAAACTGTCTGCTACACCTTTTGTAACATTATCTGCAGAAACGTCCATATCAGTATAAACATTGAAAGCAACATAGTTGCTCATATGTTCGCCATCTTCCTGACTGCCTTCTGACTCTTCATCACTCCAAGTTGCATTGAACGACTTCTTCTTCTTCTTGAGGGTATTGGAACATTCGGATTGAATATGTCCATTGAATACCTCTGTTCTTTTTCTTCAATTCTGTGTTATTTGCTGCAGATTTACTCTTTTGAAAATTGTTAGGGTTGCCATTTCTTGAATTCTTATTCTTCCTATTGACCTTCTTCATCACCTTGTTGAATTTCTTCGACAACCTTGTTATGGACTGGGCCAAGTCTTCTTCATCATCGGAATCAACTTCGGCTTGAAAGGCAATGCTTTTCTCCTTCTTTCCTGCTTTGTTTTCATCCAGATTCATCTCAAAAGTGCGCAAAGAACCCATTAGTTCATCAAGTTTCATTGTTTGGACATCCTTAGCTTCCTCAATAGTTGTCACCTTACAAGCAAACCTCTGTGGAAGAGACCTCAAGGCCTTCCTCACAAGCTTCTCCTTTTCATGTGCCGTTTGCAATGTCTCCCATGCATCCTTGGCTATTTCACATGTTGAAATGAGCTTGAATTGGTTCGCATCTACCCCGTTGAAGATAGCATTCAGCGCTTTAGAATTGTTGTTCACCAACTTGTCCTCTTCGGTTGACCAAGTAGTTTTGGGCTTCAATATCTCCTTCCCTTCAGAATCCTTTGTAATTGGATGCTCCCAACCAGTCAAGACAACCCTCCATGCCTTTTCATCAATAGCTTTGATGAACGCCTTCATACGCGTTTTCCAATATGAGTAGTTGGAACCGTCTAGGAGGGGAGGACGCGAAACTGAACTACTTTCTTTCAAAAAAATCCATACTTGTTGTAACAGACCAGTTCCCAAAATCTCACCAAGCAAACGGTTAGTAAACCGCTCTGATACTAATTGTTAGGTCCGTTTTTCGGTCGGTATCACAAAGAGTGTTATAACACTAGTTGTAACACTGATGACAGATACGTTAAATTAAACTAGCAAAAAACGACAAAGAATTGAAAACGTGCAAAAACATAAAGTAATGAAGGGGAAAACTAAAGAACACCAAAAAATGATATCTCAGTTCGGTGCGCACACCTACATCTGCGGGGCCACGCCCAGACAATGATCAATCCACTAAGTTCAAAAGATTACAAAGGACTAAACGGTCTTACACATTCAATGACTCCCTCATTGACAATGTCGCCGTTGCCTTGAATCTCTTTAAGAAGCTTGATCAGTGAGCACCACTCGACTTGACGGTTTCCTCCCGAAATCAAAGA